AGATTCAGACAATTTGTCAGGATTGGATGCATACTTGAGAAATTTCAGAATTTAAATTTTTTCATAACTTTAGAAATTTAGTATATATTTCCATCCACTAATACTGTATATCTTGTCTTTATATAATACATTGTTGCTTACGTTGTTCAGTTGACATCAATTTCTTCTCTCCCAAAGCTGCTAACCATTAGTTTTCTACAACAATTAGCGTACTTGCTCTATTTGTAGCGCATTCGCATGTAAATTACAGAGGTGTCTCTATGGTCAACATAAGTTATTGATTTTTTGGTTTGTATGTGATTCTATTGGAGATGTACTTCTAATAGATTTAATACAGTAAGCCTAGATCAACTAGAAAGTCTGAGTGACGTAATTGTCATTCAACCTTTCTTTTATGCACTTCTGTACCCTAAGAATTTTTTGTGAAGTGGTGTTGTCCCCTGTATTCACCTAAGTCACTTCACCAGCAGCTGTACCCACAGACAACTTTAAATACTAACAACAGTTCCAATTATGATCATTTTCTAAAGAAAAGCACTGACTACCACCTTGTTGTTTTTACATCTTGCTATCATGCATATCAGGTCAACTGGTTGGCTACTGTAATATTATTAGCGTGAGTGTCACAGCTGACTAATACATTTCTGGAATTGTTCTCATACTTGCGTTTTTCTAAGTCTCATATTTTCACCCACACACAAAGCGTTAAGTGACGTTGGCCAGATATTCCAGTACTTCTCAAGACTTTGTGTGGGCTTTCTAGATTGCTTTCTGCCAAATAAATAGAATAATCTGAATATTATATATACATTTTTAATATAAAGAATAACTTTTCACTTGCATACACAGAAGAATTTTGTCTTAGTAATGTTTAGCTCCAGGCGAAGTCTGTTAGAATCGTGTTAGAGATTCTCTAGGAACAGAAGTCAAGATTAAATTGTTTTTCTGAATGTCTTTAACATCATTATGCTATTTAAGATTCTGAAACAGTTAAAAACAACTGTTTAAGATGTACAGAAAGTTGAATGTTTTGTATAGAATGGGTTGAAAGGGTATGATAGTTGGTTAATTAGGGCTGGATGGGCAGGGCGACAGAGAAGGTTACTATGGTTACTGGATGGAGAAGACTATATCAGCTGTACACAACAGCAAAGTCGTGACTCTCCAATACAAAATTAGCCGATGTTTTGCAATATTGTGGAATACGTCAGCAGATCATGTCTCACTTCCATCAGTGAATAGGATGGACACACTCCAAGCTATTGCAAGTTGAAATGCTATCCATCTGTGCAGCCTTGACACATGACTAACTCCTGCAGTCAGTAAATCACAGGATAGGTTAGCATAGCTGTAAATGAACAAGTGTTGTGCAATACCATGTGTAGATCAATTGATAAGACTGATTTAAAACCTTGAAATGTGATAGGCCAGTCAATCAATCAAGATCAACAATGCTGCTTGAAGTCTTTGGGATCAAGGCAGTCTACTAAGGGATGCCTCTTCTACTGTTTGGTAGAGGTTTGCTTTAGTAACAATGTTGCTTGAAGTCTTTGGGATCCAAGCAGTCTACTGGGGGGGGGGGATTAATAACAATGCTGCTTGAAATCTTAGGGATCAACAGTTTCTTCAACAGTTTGTTGGGGGGGGGGGCATTAATTAGTATCAGTTAATTAGTATTGCTTGAATTGAAGTCTTGAAGATTCAGGCAGTCTACTAAAGGATGCCTCTTCTACTGTTTGGTAGAGGTTTGCTTCAGTAACAATACTGTTTGAAGTCATTGAGATCCAGGCAGTCTACTAAGGGCTGCCTCTTCTACTGTTTGGTAGAGGTTTGCTTCAGTAACAATACTGTTTGAAGTCATTGAGATCCAGGCAGTCTACTAAGGGCTGCCTCTTCTACTGTTTGGTAGAGGTTTGCTTCAGTAACAATACTGTTTGAAGTCATTGAGATCCAGGCAGTCTACTAAGGGCTGCCTCTTCTAGTGTTTGGTAGAGGTTTGCTTCAGTAACAATACTGTTTGAAGTCTTTGGAATCCAGGTAGTCTACTAAGGGATGCCACTATGGGGGATAGGGTGGGGATTAGTTACAATGCTGCTTGAAATCTTAGGGACCAACAGTTTCTTCAACAATTTGTTGGAGGGGGGGGGGGTTAATTAGTATCATTGTTGCTTGAGTTGAAGTCTTAAGGATCCAGTCAGTCCACTAAGGGGTGCCTCTTCAACTTTTTTGGGAGGGCATCATCAAAAATTGCTTCTTGATATTTTATTGATTGATAGAGATGGAATACTGGGGGAAGCTTCTTCTGGGGGAGGGAGATTCAATATCAACTTTTGCTTCTAAATATCGTATGGATCAGTAGAGTTAGAAAACTAAGGAATGTGTGGATTGGCATTTCTATGCTTGACAATACTCGTTCAACTCTTTTTAACAAGAACCTCTATTGAATTCTTAAACTCTAAATATATCGTTATTTATCTGACAGGTAGTTGTACTATTATAGGTAATGTAATCGATGTGTTACAAAGGCAAGTCCCACAATATGTCAAAATTAAAACAAATTTGCAGTGATAACGCAAAATACCAGTAACTAGCTTGAACCCGTTCAAAGTAAATGTCGCTTTAAATCTATAAAAGAAATGTATTTGTCCAAATAGGGCTGAGCACGATATGGAAAATTATTGCATTGCTGGCTCATTTGGTTTCTCATAGCAATACAAGACCTGGCAACACATAGTACTGAATGACCAATTGAAGATTGATTAAATGTCATTTTGATCAAAACAAATAGTAAGTCAATTTGGCTCAAGTATGTCTAGGTCAAGAACTTGGATTTGATAATGTCCAGGTTGGTAGATGGAATACTGACGGATGATTAGTTATTCGTAAGTTATTTTATGGATATTTAAATGAAAAGACTGATTACAACAAAACGGTTTAAATATTAATAATTTTGAGTGCTGGCCTATTTTAAGGAAATATGGGTATTATAACATGCATTGATCCACTTGGAATTATATTTCTGATTTACTGTATCTGCAGAATATTGCCATATGTATCCTTCAACACTATTTTAACACTCATGAGATATACAAATGTATATGATATTCTACAAATAGTTTGATTTCTAAAACAGTCTCTGGCTCCCTAAGGCTTTTGGTATTTGAGTCATTTTGTTACATGATTGAATCGGACGCAGCACAGTTAAGATTATATATGCAAGTCAAAGGTGTGTAATCTACATGTACGTCGATCCTCATTGTAAAGATTGCATGCTGGGTAATGGACCAGATTTGATGCCGATTTTGCGCTACACCCCAGATATTACTCTACACACTGAGCATTACTCCATGCACCAGACATTATTCCATGCACCGGACATTACTCCATGCACTGGACATTACTCCATGCACTGGACATTACTCAATGCATCAGACATTACTCCATGCGCCAGACATTATTCCATGCACTGGACATTATTCCATGCACTGGACATTATTCCATGCACTGGACATTACTCCATGCACTGGACATTACTCAATGCATCAGACATTACTCCATGCGCCAGACATTATTCCATGCACTGGACATTATTCCATGCACTGGACATTATTCCATGCACCGGACATTACTCCATGCACTGGACATTACTCCATGTACCAGATATTACTCAATGCACCAGACATTACTCCATGCGCCAGACATTACTCTACACCCCGGACATTACTCTACACCCCGGACATTACTCTACACCCCGAACATTACTCTACACCCCGGACATTACTCTACACACCGGACATTACTCTACACACCGGACATTACTCTACACACCGGACATTACTCTACACACCAGACATTACTCTACACACCAGACATTACTCTACACACCAGACATTACTCCATGCACCGGACATTAGTCCATGCCCCACCATTTCTCCATACTCCGGACATTTCTCCATGCACCATACATTACTCCCTGAGATCACTTATTATTATAATCAGTTATTTTCCTTTTAATCCCAATTGACCAATTTAATTGGCTTTACATTCCACTATTTATATTGTATTACTTGTTTGGCATCTAATTTTGTAATTCAGAAATCCCCTCTGGAGACTATAAATGAAAAGTTATAAATCTCAGCTGTTAATTCTTGTGTACTTCCAGGATGTAGGCTATTTATAGCAAATTTGAAAAATTTGGTGGTTTAAAAGAGTTTACGTCATTCTATAATCAACCCATCAATTTTTTTTCAAGGTTATAATCAGTGATTTCCCACTTTTTGCATCTTTCTGTAGATTTCGCATTTTAATCACACCATATTCCTGATTCAATTCAACATGTTTAATTAATAAGGGTACACTGTATGAAATGACACTACATGTTTTCTTTCGATACGTTCATCGTAGCAATTCATATATTCAAAATAATGAGCAAATGAAAATAAGATTCAATGAAAATTTAGAGACTGGAATCCTACGTTTTTTTTTAAAGGTTTTCTTCAGCTGTGCAGTGGGAATTCTTTCGTAATAAGTGATAGGATTGTGATGAACTTAATATACAGCAGTTCATTGACAAAAGCCCAGCGGCTAATTCTATTTTTCCCTGCACGATTTTTTTTCCAAAATTAGTCCTACTGTTACCAATTGCTTTGTTCCGGTGTATTTTTAGCCATTATATGGGAATGTCTCTTCCCTCATCCACGTCACTTTCTGTATACCAAGTTAAACCTTCCTTGGTATCTTCGGAATGTAACATGTAATGATATTCCTGGTTCCTTATATGTCTTCACTTAAGCCTTGCTGTGGATACTTTGGACTCAGGCCTGCTGTCTCCCTCTATGGGGCCCCTGTATCATGGAATCGTATTTCAGGTTGTTATGGAACTCCTAAAATTAAAGTTGTTGTGTATAGCCTCCTAGTCAGCGCCACATGTTGGGTCGATGATTTCCTTTAATAAACACTGATATATATATATATACCACTGTTTGTTGTATCGTTGACTCATGGAAATTACGATACCCAAAGATATAGGTGCGAAATCAGCTGTTAGACCTGTGGATATACAGGTACTGATAAACTATTCAAGTCAAGGAAAAATTCATAAAATTTTAGATTCCATATATAAAATGAATTTATGAGTCACCCAATAGTGGGAAACGATATTATGTATCAGTAAAATTTGTTATATAATGTGTTTTCCAGACTCAAGCGTCGTCAATGTTGTTATGGTTATATTCTATATGACTGAAATAACTTTTTTTTTTTTATTTTATTTGCCACATAAATACACCAACTTTTATTTTGTATGAATTATTGTAAATTTATTGTTATGAATTTAATGAAGTAATGAATGCTTTTCTTGTGTCTTACAGGTAATGACTACCTGTGTGCCGCCAGTTAATTATGAGTTGGTAAGTACAAACATTATTTATAATTCCTTTGGGCGCCAAATTATTTCTTGCTTAAAATAAGGCAATTTTTTTCACGTCTGAATTTGTATAAATTGGTTCACATTTTCTGTAATTTTTACTGAATTTAAATTTTGATTTTCGACCTAAAAACATAAATGTGATGTCGCTTCAAGTTTTTGATCAAAAAAGTTGAAATTTTTGTCAATATTTTTTGTGAAATGGGACCATTTTGTGATTGGTTTGTGAAGTTGTCTTTGGTGCTCAGTGTTAATAATAATCAAGTCACACTGGCATTGTCATACAGTGAGAAAAACAAGTTATTGATTTTTTGGTATCTTGATCTCTGATGTATCTGGCTACCATGATGTCCTGTTGTCCTGATGTCCTGTTTCTCTTGTAATCATGCATAAAAAAATTAAAGACATGTAAAACCAACCTGGCTTATTTGTCCCAGCAAGCAAAACTTACGAAAATGTCTCTCAAGATACTAAATGTGGAAGCATTGGATAAAGTTAAATCACATTTGTGAGTTTTGAAAATGAATACTTAGCAAAAGAATCTCTTGTAGGGAAAAATTATGATTATATCCGAGCACAGTCCATCTATTATAGATACATTTGTGTAGAGAGGGACTGTGGTCCGAGTAATGATTTAGGAATTAACTCGCGCATAAAAGAAAGTCAGGAGGGATATTCTGTCATATTTAAAGTCTTCAGTAAACAAAATACTACATGGTGAAGTAGGGAAACAGCTGGTGTGCTTCCCACTGTCAGTTTTTGTTAGTTTCCATTTAATGGTTTTGCTATTTCCAAGCACATGGATTTACCTGTATTCAGATACTGGTGGGTTAATATGGTTTATAATTTAATGACTAATTCCAGGTGGTGATGATGAGTTTAAGATAGACCACAGTCATGTGCCAGGATATGTACTTGACCTGAATGATTATTAACTCTCTCTGTCTCATCTGACATCTCATTGCATAGTTAGCGAATACTTGACCTGAATATTTGGCAGCAATTTCATTAGATTGGAATGACAGTATGGTTTCATATCCTGAAAACAAAATTGCACAACCTGCTTTGGAATCTTGTGGTGGTTGAATATGTGCAGCATCATTGATTACTCTGTAGTGCATCTGCTTACGTAAATAACAAATAAAATAATGACCCAATATATAATAAATCTAATTTTAATCTAATTTTAGCTTCTATTAGTGATTCTCCTCTATTAGAGCAAACATGTCTGTTTTTCAATGGCATCAGAATGTGGCACATTGTTAATTACAAATATCGTACTGTAAAATACTTTATTTTAGCTGGAATTAATTTTCACTGAAAATACTTTTTGGGTGTTTTGTGTGGAATTTATTTTCAAAAAAGGTATATTCGCTTGATTTTATTTTCATTGAATCATTTCTTTAGCAAAAATTAATTCTTAACGAAAATAAAGTATTTCACAGTATTTACTCTTTATACAATGTAGTAGCGAATAAGCTGAAATAAACGTTTGTCTTTTCATTCAAAATTCAAAGATATTGTCTAAATGAGATAAACCTTAATTTTCCTTAAAAGTGTTCTAATAATAAGATGGCTACATGTATATCAAAAAGCAATAAAATGCACAACTCATTTCATATTTAATTTTTCACTGTGCTTTATAATAAAGACTTTTCTACTGCAAAACCATTTATTTTCACTGACATTTTACTATTTTGATGTTTTGAGCGAAATCACTACATTTTATTTCATGAATTTGTCAAGGATTCCCACATACAATGAGTTCTATTGTTATTTTACATGTTCATGTAAATTTAATTTAGTGTATTTTACTTATCAGCGAAAATAGCGAAATTAAAACCCAGTGAATAATTAATGCATGTACAGTACTTACTCATAGGTCTGAAAGTATTGCAGATGAAAATACTTTCAACAGTATCGTCTTTGCTTTCGTCAAAAAATTGATGTTTTGGATATTATTTTAAGTACTGTAACTTCACATTGGTTCATTTATGCTAACATTGTCTACTGTTATTGCTTCTGTTAGCGCAAATATAGTATTAAAATATCATAGTTGTCACATTTCAACTTTCAAGTAAACAATGTGACAAATGGAACCAATTTTGACACAATACAGTG